GATTGCATGTCGACAAATCATGCAGTGAACGTCGGTATATCTTTGACGCACACAGACAATTCCCATGAAATCTCTGATAAGATTTCGCTGGCACATCGATTCTGTTCATATCCTTCGTCATATTTGCCTTCCATCCCCCGGCGATCTTCTCCGCAATCCTCTGTCGATATATACGCTAATTCTTACTATGGATCCATGCCGTTCTTCGTCCATAAGAACGTTGCCGCAGAAGACCACCGTCTCCTTCTCCGGTTAGCCTATGGATCATGTCAATCTCGATTGCCGAGACGACTCCTGCAGCCTTCTCCCCGTCGTGGCTGATGGCGATCTCGAGGGCTGTAAGTGCTGCATACATGAAGTGACCGGCTGCAAAGCGACTCAGTTCCCCGGGGCATCGTCGCCTTGTTCCGCCGCGGCGGACAAATTGGTGACGACGACGAAGGAGTACCCCGCCGACCCGTTCCTCCTCGACGTCAACGACAGCAACAGCCTCTACGGCACCGATGAGTTCCGCATGTTCTGCTTCAAGGTGCTGCCATGCTCCCGGGCGTACTTCCACGACTGGACTGCGTGCCCCTTCGGCCACCCTGGCGAGAGCGCGAGGAGGCGCGACCCGAGGAAGTACGCGTACAGCTGCTTCCCTTGCCTCCCCTTCAGGAGAGGCGCGTGCCCCAAGGGCGACATGTGCGAGTTCGCGCACGGCGTTTTCGAGCGGTGGCTCCACCCCATGCAGTACCGCACCAGGATGTGCAAGGATGGGACGCACTGCGCTCGGCGCGTGTGCTTCTTTGCGCACACGTCGGAGGAGCTCCGCGCCTCGCTCGAGTGCTCGCCTTTTCTGCAGCTCCCTTGTGCAAATATAGCATGGCCGGAACTGCATCTTCTTGCTCTCGGCGATCTCCATCGTGTCAGAAATCGATCGTCTCTGCTCAATGTGGATGACCTCGCCCTGCTTCCTGATTGCAGACTTCAGCAGATCAACGATTTGAGCTTGTTGCTTGGCCAAGAGTACCCAGCAACTTCCTTAGCTGGAAGGAAATGCAGTAGTAGCCTCTTCTCTGCTGAGATATCTTCGCCACCGGGGTTCACATCAGCTCATCAGCTCGCATCGTCTCCGCAGCAGCATCAGAGTCCGCTGTTCTCTCCCAGAGCTATGAATCATGGTCATGATGGGAATTCCGCACCTTGCATCATTGAATGGAGTTCCTGTCCCAGCTATCCGATCCCTGCTGCACTGACTCCACAGGAGAGACTGCAGCGACATCTACCGGCCCTGAGCGCTGTTGATGATGGATCGACTTCCATTACCGGATCATCTGACTCCTCTCGGACCAACGAGTGGATTGCACTATCGAAGGAGATAGAGCAGGAGGTGAATGGTGAGGGGTTGGGACCGCATAAGCGGTCGACGTCGTTTGAACTGGGATGCCGCAGTGAGAAGGAGGCTGATGTCTCCTGGGTGTAATCGCTGGTTGGCCCGCCGGAGATGAATGTGAAGCAAGTGACGAGTTCATCAGTCATCATGGATGCGTGATATGGTTGCTCTACAAAGTTCGATGTATGTGATCATGCGCCGCGGCGGAGAGAGGATTGCAGTTTGAAGTAGTGTTGCATGAGAATTTTTTGGTTCTTTTAGCGAAGATTAATTTCAAATATTTTGGTTTAATTTAGCTAATGTGATTGTTGCATTTTAAGAACTAAATTATTGTTAATTTAGCTAAATATTCATGGAGATGAACATTTTTTATGTCACGAGTGTCACTAACGTCGAAGGCGTGCTTTACTTGGGCGCTCAAGTTTGTTTATGGTCTTCTACGAGAGTAAAAAAATAAGAGTTTTAGATCATAAACTATAGTTAAGAAACTCATTTATAAAGTTGCATGGGAAATACTTTTGGAATAAAAAATATTTTTAACCGAACCGATATATTCACATTGATGTGATGAGTCCGAATGAATGATTGAATTCTAAATATTGAATTTCTATCGATTAAGATTTGATAAGATCAAATTTTGACAAAGATCTATTCTCAAAGGATCATATTGATGGGAAATAGTATTGGAATAAAAAAAATATTTTAAAAAAATCTCTCCTTAATCGACTATATTCATATCAATGTGATGAGTCCCATTTACTAAATTCTCTATCGACTAAGACTTGATAAGATTAAATTTTGATAAAGATTTGTTCTCAAAGGATCTAGACCCTCTTAATCTAGAAAATTTGTTAGGGATGAGTGAACATATTGACAAACTACAATCAATGCTAGATTGATGCATAATTTGAGATTATACAAGCAACTAAGATACTTTATTGGGTAATTAAAAATCAATATATTACGTCATTTGTCGATATCAAATTACATATTTTGCAGTAACGAAATCTACCCATCACAAAGATTTCCTAAAAATATAACTACTGAAGACCCTTTCCATAAGACAAATATCCAAAATTCATATTATTTCGTACTAAGACTGCATGAAAATACATACAATTTTGTCCCATTTATTTCGGGAGGCTCTTTATCATAGGCATATTCAATGGGTAAAATTTGAGCCAAAAACACTCATTTTGATTCAACTATAACATATATTTTTCGGAAATAATAACATCACTCTCCCAATCTTAAAACTTTGGTCATCCAAATTTAACCAATAGAACCTTCTCCTCGAAAAGCTCCTCTTATAGGTGGACTTATGAAGCCAGACCGTAAATTATCGTTCCGGTCCGGCACGGTTTGATACAGTCCGGACCGGCCGATGATTGCAGGCATTTCTTCCTTATCGTACGTCTTCCGCTCGACAATCGAAGACGAAGCTGAAGCGGACACAAAGCCCCTCGACTTCTTTTCCCGGGCTCTCGATCTCGATCGGAGGAACCACCACGAAGCGGCGGTGATGGCGGCGACCCCCGATCTTCTCTTCGGCCTGCGCAACAGCTTCTACTTGGGCGCCTACCAAGCGGCCATCAACAGCAGCGACATCCCCAACCTCCCCGCCGACGACGCCCTCGAGCGCGATGTACTCGTCCACCGATCCTACATCGCACTCGGATCCTACCAGGTTCCCCTTTTCTCCTTCGGATCTCTTCTTATTGATCAAGGATCTCGATCTATGATCGGTTTGTCGGTTTCCTTGCAGCTAGTCATCAATGAGATTGATTCGTCGGCTCCTACTGCTCTCCAGGCCGTCAAATTGCTCGCCCTTTACCTCTCTGAAAACAAGGTTCAGTCTTTTATTTCCACCCCTCTGTTTTTATCGGATTTCGGATTGATTTAGGTTTGGTTTCAGATATCTTGATCTTGTTTCTTCGGATCTGGGATGTGGAAATGATGGTTCAAATGTTTAGATCTTATTGAAATCCTTCTAAATCTTCCTTGGGTTTCTTTATGGTTAGTGCTTTCAAAGAGTAATTTTAGTTGATAAGAAAATCTTTCTCATCTGTCCTTCGCGTTGTTGGATATGCACAATATTTTTCCGGGAAGGCACTCATGACAAATGATACTCTGTCCCTTCAGCTTACTGAAGGCACAAAATTATTCAACATGTTAAAATCAAATTATTGAACTTGACAACCGCATGATCAGATTTTAGTGGGTAAAATAGAATTTTATTTAAGATTCTCATTGCTATTATTAAGATGTGGAAATTGTTAGCTGAAATGGTTTGGTTCTATTGCTGCAGCTAGTCTCTTTGTTCTTTTATGCATTAAACAATGCTCAAGAGGCGACAGTGCCAGGAGATTTGTGGAATTTGAGGACATTGTTTATTTAGCTAATATATCAATACTTAAAAATCAGTTTTCTCTTTTTAAAGTCATATTAAGATGGTTCGACTTGGGAAAATATTGAAATCTTGCAAAATTTTGTCAACATTTTTTTTTTGGACTATATGGTGAAACTAAATGCAATGGTGTAGCACATGATTGTGGTGCCAAATAATCAATTTGTTTATTTATGTTTGTTTTGTTTTCCTTCATTTGAAGACTTTTGTCACATCTATATGTTGATAACTTGATGTTCACCAATCTTTTATGTGGAATTTTAGTGATGTCTGGGATTATGTTCCTTCAAGCTTCCTATCATCCTGCTGTAAGCTGTCAGCCACTATGATGTTTTTACATGCAATGAAAGGAGAATTTTCTCTTTACTCATCCATAGGTTCTTGATGAAAGCAATTGAAATTCTTAACTATCACTACTACCTTCAAGCTTTGATAGTACTTTGTTTGAATCTTTCCTTAACTTATCTTGTTTTGAATCAGCAATAGTAAAATGGTCAGTTAAGTTGGACCCATTTCTTTTTCTTTTTGGTATTTGCAATCAATTTCAGTGGAGATAGGTTGTGCCTTTGGGGTTCAAGGATTTGTCAAAATATGCCAAACTCTTGTATTTCTCATACTGATAGTTTTACCAGTCATGGGCTCTCATATGATCCTCTCTTATGACCTTTTTGGTGACCAAGAAGGCTGCTATTTCAAGCCTCCAAGAATGGTTTAGTCATGCTGAAATAAGCAACAATCCCATTCTTCGACTAATTGCCGGGACCATATACATGTATGAGCAAGACTACAACGAGGCACTTAAGCATACCAACTCTGGGGGAAGTATGGAACTGTAAGTACTGGTTTTCTTACTCATTGGAGATAGAGATGTTGTTCTGTTGTATATTTGATTCATCAAATCAAAATTTGCTGCTACTGTTTATTTTTTAAAATTTAAAATTACTTTATTGTTTCATACTCCAAGTAGGAATAAGTTTTTATTGTAAGTTATTCAAAACTAACTTTAACAGCATCTACTTATTAATTTTTAAGGTGCTAAGAAGTAAAATTAGTAATGCAATAAGTCAAAATTTTCATTGTTGTTAATGCTGTGAATAGCTTATTGATCACCACCAAATTCAATTGCTTTTTTCAGGCATGCTTTGAATGTTCAGATATTCATTAAGATGCACAGGTCAGACTATGCTGAGAAACAACTCAAGATCATGCAACAAATCGATGAGGACCATACACTTACACAACTTGCAAATGCATGGTTGGATCTGGCAATGGTAATCCTGGTTTTTAACTGCATGATTGAAGTAATACTTAATTATTTTGTCTTATTTGTTTGAAATTTTTTGTGACTTAGGGTGGTTCCAAGGTCCAGGAAGCATATCTTATTTTTCAGGACTTCTCTGAGAAGTATCAGATGACTGGAACAATTCTGAATGGCAAGGCTGTCTGTTGTATGCACATGAATCGCTTTGATGAGGCTGAGTCCTTATTGCTCGAAGCACTGAACAAGGTGAGCCTCTAAAATTATCTTGTTTCAGATAATCCAGTACAGTTTTCCCTAAAATTAGATAAAGAGTATAACATGATGTTTCTTTACATCTGCGAGAAAAAATAATAAAAACATCTGGCTTCAGGATGCAAAGGATGCAGAAACTCTGGCCAACCTTGCTGTGTGCAGTCTTCACCTAGGCAAACCTTCATCACGATATCTCAAGTAAGTAACTGGTGATCTTTTTTGGATTAAGGAATCCTAGATGACATCCCAAAGGCTAGATGACATCTCAAATGAACACAATGTTTGCCTAGTTTTTTAATTAAGCGTAGCATATATAATATTACTTTCTATCTATCACTCTTTTTATGTTGCCAAACAAATATTACTTTTTGTCATGAAATGACTTATAGAGACACAACATGATTGCTCTAAATTTTACCACAAGCTTTAATGCTTAAATTTAGTTGAAAACTCTGAAACCGAATGTTGATTGTACACCATATTGTCATAAGATTCTCTTGCCCATAACTAACATCCCATATAGTCCTTGCTATTTTAACTGTTGTATATTAATAATGCTCACATAACATGCTTGTACGAAGCCGTAGTATTGGCTTTGTTTACGGATTATTACAGTGTGTCATGTGCCTACCACAGGTTTGGCATTGGTCGCAACAACCAGCACATGCCACGCCAACTTGATTCTTCCCTAATTTGTGGTACAGCTGATCAGTCCATGGTTTACTACGATGATCATTCTAGGATGAGTCAGCTTTTTCCTTGATGCTTCTGATTTGCTGGACCCTTTGCAGCAGAAGTGTAAAAGCTTGTTCGTCTAAATTATTAGGATACTATTGATTGTGGGATTTTTGGATCCTAAAGAAGCTAAAATAAAAAGTAGATCATGCTGAAAGTTAGAATAAAAACTATCTGCTTTGTTTTTAAGTGGCCAAAATAGTTGTCTTTTTAACATGTTAAAGATAAAATTAAAAAAGACTTTGTAACATCTTGTTTGCATAATGGAGTTTGTACTGATGAGTATAGAATATGATAAGTAGATCATGCTGAAAGTTATAACAAAAAGCATCTGTGTTTCTTTTAAGTGGCCAACATAGTTGTCGTTTTAACCTGTTAAATATGTAAAAATGACTTTGTAACATTGAGTTCACATATTAGAGTTTGTAGTTTGTACTGATGAATACAAATTCTAACTTACTGGCCTTGCTTGTAAAATAGCCCATGTCCAACCAAAAATGGCTTTGAAGCATTGAAATAACAAATATTTTCAATGTTTAGAGAGAAGTAGGCTATCAAATAATTATTGATACGTCAATATTTTCTCAAGAATTTTAACTTCTCATTTGTAGCCTTTGACCACACGAATAGTTTTAGCAATGGGAGCATCACTTCTTTAACTTATCCAGCACCATACTAAGTTTGGTCCTTGCTCCTCGAAATGTTCAACTAGGGTATCAAAGTAGTTATTTGGCTCTGAAACCAGAATCATATAGAGCATTCAAGCAAAATTAAAGTAAGGTTAAATGAAGTGTAGAGTTCTTGAGAGAGGCATAGTCCTGAATTCTTACCAGTCTAAATTCATCTAGTTATACCAGCAGTAATTGTAACTCTTGTTTTGATACTTCATTAGTTTTCCCTATGAATATTTCTGTTAAGAATGATAAAACCAAAACAGGCATCATTTAATTTGATCGCTTTGAAATAACTCCTGATTAGCAACTCTCAGGCTGTTCTCTGGCATTTTGTTTTGTCCATTGATGGCACTGACCCACTTGGGTGGCTGTCATGGTGCTCATAAAAAAAATCAGACGGTCAAGTACGCTTTGACAGAAGTAGCTAAAATCTACCATTTTCAAATGGAATCTCATTATGCCTTCTTCTTCGAGCAAATTGTGCCATATTTATTTATATCTGGAAATCATCCATCTTATAATAGCCGCTTATTTTCTCATACTTTGTTTCTGCAGTCAGTTGAAGTTGTCACATCCTGACCATATGCTTGTTAGATGTCTAGCATCCGCTGAAGACAACTTTGATAGAGCTGTTCAATCCATTGCATGAGGTCTCAGATTATGATTTGCAAGAGAGTGGCATAGTAGTCTTCTGCTTAATTTTCCTTGAATTTTGACCATCTTGTTTTGTGATTGTACGACTAGTTGAATCTCATCAATAAGCAACTTAGTGGGATTGGATTCACTAGCGATGTCCACTGATATTTTCTGTTAGGCTGAACCATGAACTGAGTTCAGATATGCACTGTCATGCCTTGTTAGTCTCATCATCTATAAAAAGTTGCATCATTTCTGAAAAAAGATTAGCTGTTGTATCAATGAACACAATTTCTATAATTTTCTCCAATGCTGCACCGGTGTCTGTGGTGGATGTTATTTTCTTAGCAGTAACTCCTGTCCAATCATAATTAACTTTTTAATCTCAAGTTCTAATTCCTTCAAGGCCTTACCGGTCAGTCTTCTAATATCTCTTTCAGGAGTTTCAAAGGAAAGCTTTTCTTCAATATATTGTCTTTGACTGGAAAATTGTGATGAGCAAACACATGATTTCTTTTATAAAATCTTTGGAAGCATAGACAAACAATATCTGACAATATAATAATTACATAAGATTAAATTATATGTGGGTAAAGGATTGATACTTTTGACACACATAGCTACCGTTGATGAATCATCTCTCTTGTTTGTTTACCTTCTTTTCCGAATGGTGGAGAAAAGGTTCAAATATTCCTGACCTTCCATGACAGAATGATATAACCTGTCATGATCATGTATGGTTTGGTTGCAGGTATATATCTTCAAGAAGATGCACACAGTGAATATGATGGAGGACAACCATATTTGATTAAAAATAAAATCGTGATGAATTCATGTTAGAGTGAATAGTTATAAGTCAAGTTCTTTCTTGATTGACATAGTTATGATATGCACGGGAAACGTGGGGAAATAAACCGATCTCCAATAAGAAATCGATTCGTGAAGACGAGAATTACATAGGATACTTGCACTTCAACATCTGTTGCAGATCAGATCGACGAGCTCAGTTAGAAATCACAATAGAAAAGGTCCGTATTATAAATATGAACATTATCCTCGTCTGTTTGGACCTACAAGATTTCTACTCATTGTTCGATCTCAAAGAACCCCTCCCCTCACTATGGGAGGTTGATGAAGATATCTTTATTTGGTACTTGCTAAATATTTTGTTTCAAATCTTGAATACTGCATTACAAATATTTAAATATTAATATTATCTTAGGATTATATTAGCATTTCAGTATTTATGTGATGTTAATAAAAATTTTACAAATTTTAAAATATTTTATAATATTCTCTAAAATTACAAGATTACCACTGTACAATAGAAATCTTTAACCCTTATTTTCTATCCCCTTAACTTTCCTTTTTACTTTGTCATCAACCCCTGTCATATGTCTTTCATAAGATGAAATTTTTTATTTATTTTTAAAATTATTTTATATTTATTATATATATATATATATATATATATATATATATATATATATATA